CTGATCCCTACACTGCCGCCGCACCTGCTGGACTACTGCTGGTGAGGGGCCGGGCCTGGGGGGCTGGGGACCAGGGCGTAGGGCCTGCATGACCCTGCTCCCTCGGGTCGTCCGCAGCGCTCCCATGCCCTACCTCATCGGAGTCCACGCCAGTCTCACAGAGGTCAGTGGCAGCGGCCATGGACTGCAAGGACGGGCGGAGTTCACTCCCTCTGCATCCCCGGATACCCTCCCCCGCCAGAGTTCCTCGGACTCTGAGCTGCGGTCTCCCTACCACCCTCCAACACAGAGAGTGCTGGAGAAAGGCCTGGAAGATGTCGTGATGATGAACGTGGACTCCAATATCTTAGAGACGCCCTTCGACGACGTGCAGGCGCTGCCTCCCGACGTGGTCAGTATCACCCCTCCCGCAGCGTCTGGGAGAGGGAGGCCCCAAACCCACCCGCTCAGCGCTGCTCCCTTGTCCTCCAGGTGTCCCTGCTGAGGCTGAGGCTAAGAAAGGTCGCCCTGGCCCCAGGAGAAGGGGTGTCCCGTCTTTTCCTCAAGGCCCAGGCACTGCTCTTCGGGGGGTACCGCGATGCGCTGGTCTGCAGCCCGGTGAGCAGGGGGGATGCTGAGGAGGAGGCCTAGGTGACCCTGGAAGATAATATCATTTAGAGTGTTTACTCTATGCCTCCATTTGCTCATCTATAAAATGAGATCCAGATAGTACCCACCCAAACGGATGGTGTGAGTAAAATGCTTGGATGGTGCCTGGCATATCACGAGTATTCAAATGCTAGGTCCTACTACTACTATCTCATTTAATGCTCATGACAGTATTATGAGATAGGTGCCATTATGGTCCCATCTTACATGTAAAGAAACTGAGGCTTGGAGAAGTCCTGAGGTAGGTGAGTGTTAAACCCAGGACTCTGATCTGCTGACTTTCAACCCCCTCCCTCAGTTTCCCACTATTCTATAAAAACTTAAGGGAGGGGGAAATTCTATCATTTAAGTATCTGATGTGCCTGTGGCTGTGCCTTAACAACACATCTGGAATCTGCCCATTTCTCCCCATCATCTGTCTCCACCCTGGTCTGGTCCCCATCATTGCTCACCTAGATAAGCGTGCTCGCCTCCCTAATGAGTCCCCTCTCCCCGGTTCCCACCCTCACCCTCATAGTCTGTCCTCCCTGAAGAGGCCAGAAGTCACCTGTGAGCACCCAAGTCAGGTCTCACCCCTCCTCTGCCCTCTAGGGCTCCCACCTCCCTCTGGGTAAAAGCCCAAATCTCCC